TCTAGCTATTCGTACGCCCCAATACGTCAAATAACGAATGATTCATCTAAGACCAGATTTCACGGCGCATAGAAACCGTCCCGTTGTTCTTAGCTAGAGGAGAGTGGTATTTAAAGAAGCCATTTTCCTTGGTATTTGAGCACTGAAGATACCAGATGCATCTTGCATCATTTTGTCCAGTAAAGCCATCACGAACGATTCTATTGCTTATGAGACAAAGAAAAGTAAATCTGTGGTCGTAAAGCATGTATTTAATGTACTATAATAGCAAGAAAGATATATTTATCAGGTAATTGTCGTCACTCCGTTATGTTGTGAAATTATTGCTTAAGTAGTTAAAATTGTTGGTTTTAGACATTTAATCAACGATTTTCTCAGGCATGCATAAAAGGAAAAAAGCTTAACGTTAACAGTATGTTCATGAGACGTCGGACATGCAAATATATTTGTAAAAGTTGGCCATTTTTATTGTCCTCTGCGTTCTGTATAGTTTCTGTTTACAATAAAACCACTTGTGCTGATAAACATTACCTTTCGTTAAACAAATAAGCTTGATACCTTGATAGGCATTGGTATTGTCAGTTTATCTTTAGTTCAGATATTTGATGCTCTTTTTTAAGGGCACAGTTTAAACGTTTACATGCTTTTCAACATAAGTAGAAGAAATAGGCCAATCAACAAGTAAGTAATAGTAGCATTATAACAAAACTGTGAAGAGAGTGTGTAGGCAACTTAATGAATTTTTGCGTCCTGTAATCATAAAGACAGTGCGTATATATATGGATGGATATCTGTCTATATCTAGCTTGCGGATTTTCAGAATTAACCTTAAATCCTCCGGAAGGAATAATCGCAGGCCCAGTGAGCGAAGAAAATTTTTTCGAATGGGAATGTTTAATAACGTAAGTATTATATGCAGTGCTGCAAATGCTGAATTCCCGCAGTTTATAAACTTTCATTTACAGAGGTCCGGAAAAGACATGCTTCGAAAATGGTGTTTTCCCGGCCAAACTAATGTTTCCATCCGATTATCCTTTGAGCCCTCCGAAAATGGTATTTACAGGCGAGATGTTTCACCCGAATGTCTATCCGGATGGCAGAGTTTGCATCAGCATTCTTCATGCGGCTGGCGATGATCCTATGGGCTACGAAACAAGCGCTGAACGTTGGTCTCCAGTTCAGAGCGTCGAGAAGATTCTCCTTTCCGTTGTCAGCATGCTAGCAGGTATAGTATTGAACGCTGTATTTTAGTTGAAACGTTAATAAGCAATTTTATGGCAGACTCATTTTAAGGAATCATTATTTTCAGGAATTAAAAAAAATAATGACAAAAGAAGGACTGGAATATAGTTTAGTGCCGCCCACTGCTTTTGAGAATGACAGCGCAACTTTAATGTAAGACTGATATCGACGAACTCAATGAGTGCTAAACGGCCAGTCGTAAGCAGGAGTAAACGCCCAAGTAGCTGTCATAGTCTTGGACAATTTCAACCCACTTAGTCGATATCATACCTCTCAGAAACGCGTTTAAAAACGGTAAAATTATGACTTCCATCTCCTGATGTCAGATGACAATGTTAGTTTGTTTTGATTATCATCTTGAACCGTTTGATTAAGCAGAATGTCTTTGGTTCATTATGTCCAGTGTATTTACAGTTTTTAACGCTTGTTCTAAGGCAGTGGTTACCTGCATCACGAAGGGAAATTTTCCTCTCAGAAAGCACACCTGTATCAGTCTTATTCTTCCGTGTTGCCTGTGGGCCTTCTGGTTGTCTAAGATGTTTCGGCTCCACACGAGTAGCTCATTGACTGAATTTTGTCTAGCAAGGCCAACCTCGTTTTCTGAATCCACATATGCAGAGGTCACTTCTGCCCGGAAGACAAGTCATTCCTTACGTGCTCCTGCCATTTAGCCCTCATCGTGAGTCTATGCCAGCGTAGTTGCAGGTAAAACATGTCATTCTTTCTACTTCGTTAGTATAGCTGTCTCCATGCCGTATAACAACATTGATTTCACAGAGGCAAGGTACAGACGGATTTTCATGGAAAGAGTAACTCCTTTCTTAGTCCAACTACTGTACAGGTTTCCAAAAGCACTCGAGGCTACAGTGATCTTTTATTTAACTTGGTTTTGATGGTGCCATCACTGGAGATGATGAAGCTGAGATACT